CTCTAACCAGTCTTAGAGGCCTATAAACACATGGTACAATGTTTGCAAACTCATCTAACATGTAAAAAGCTAGGCAAACCAACTACTGGTCTTCTCCATACTGTACAAAACCCTGGTTTGATTTGGAGTGCAAAACAGCTAAAAATGAGTTACTGGTCACCTATAGGACCTACAGAGAACAGAACTTGGCTAGAATTCCAACAGATTGGTTTATGCTTAAGAAGAAGTATAAGGCTCTGGTAAAAAGAAAAAAGCTTCAAGCACAAAAGGAAACCTGGCAATGTTTGATAACTGCGTCCAATTTGAAGGACTTGGCTTCCTTCTGGAAGAGAGTAACAAAGGGAACGCTAACTTATACTCCCAAACAAGATTTCTATATATTGCCTAATATATGGGAAGAACATTTTCGAAGTATTTACACAGTCCATTCAGCTAGTACTTTAACTTCTCAGAATGATCTTGATCACATACAGTGATGCCTCACAAGGCGAGCGCTCCGTTTAACGACGAAATCGCATCACGATGAACTTTTTGCGATCGCAAAAGCGATCGATTTACGATGTTTTAAATGGGATTTTTTTCACTTTGCGATGATCGGTTCCCTGCTTCGGGAACCAATTCTCACAAAACAACGATTTTCGGCCAGCTGATTGGCAGTTTCAAAATGGCCGCCGGGTTAAAAAAAATGGCTCCCCGCTCTTTTCTGGGACGGATTCCTCGCTGCACGGGCAGCGAAAATGGCCGCGCTATGGAGGATCTTCGCTGGACGATGAGTTTCAAGCCCCTAGGAACGCATTAATCGAGATTTAATGCGTTTCTATGGGCTTTTTTATTTCGCATTATGACGTTTTCGTTCTACAGCGATTTCACTGGAATGAATTAACGTCATAATGCAAGGCACCACTGTACCCGAATGGCTCCCAGTCGTTACAAAGGAAATCTTAATGCTAATGAAGCAACTTAAACCAGGCAAGGCTTCTGGAACTGATTATATTCCACCTGACTTTATAATGTCTAACTGACTGGTGGGCTCCAGTACTTGCCTCTATATTCACCTGGATTGACAAGTGTTTTCCTGAGGATTGGGGCCTAGCCATTGTAGTCCCAATTTACAAAAGAGCAAATAGAGGGGATCCTGCTAACTATCGACCAATAAGCCTATTAAACACTATTAGTAAACTATATGCAAGGCATTTATTGGATAAATTACTGTACAAGATTGGCTACTTGAGGAGAATATACTTGCAGAGGAACAAGCCAGATTTAGGCTGGGAAGATCCACCATAGACCAGGGTCTCATTCTACACCACCTGGCATCTAAATACTCTGCCCTTAAAGGCGGTGCTTTATATGCAGCCTTCATAGACTTTAAATCTGATTTTTGATCTCATACCAAGGGAATGCTTGTGGTCTAAATTTGAGACCACAAGTATCGATAAACGGCTTCTCCTGTTGATGCGGCAACTTCATTTGCAAGTTCTTTTAACTCTGCGGGGATCTTATCTAACCAAGTTCCTGTGCTTAATGGAGTG